GAAGTCCTCATGCCAAGGAAGTTCAGGCCTCAATAGACTCCTCTATGTGTCCCCTCAACTGCAGGTACCCATTCCTTCATCAAACGGTGTTCCAGACAGACTGCCAGCTGGGGACAGCCAGAGGCTTGCTGGACAGTGACACTCTGGCTAAGGTGTCCTGCCTTTCCTTTGAGTTTGCCATAGACTCACATGCTGGGGGTGAGGGGCATGACGGTGCAGAGACCCTGAGCACCCACTGCCCGATGTTCGCTAGCGGAACCACAGGTCCATAGGAGGAGATGACACCCAGTATCCACACGCTGCCCATCCTACCTGCACCCACATGAACGTGTGCTCATGTGTGAGGTTCTGGCAATTTTCGTCTTCGTGGCATAAAGCATATGTCACATGAATCTGCCATCCACCCTCCTGTAAGTGCACACCTCAGCAGCCTCAAGCACATTCACGCAGCTCTGTAGTTGCCACCACTGTCCGCCTTGGGACTGTTCCTCTTCCCTCTGGAGCCATTGCCCATGAGACTCCAGGGTCCTTTATGGGGTGCTGAGGGCGAAGCAGGGCCTCAGGCAGGCCAGGCAGGCACCCTACCTCTGCGCGCCTCCCAACCCCACCCACAGCACTGTGTGGATTTAGGATCCCCACCTCTGTTGACCCTCCTACTGCCCCTGCCTGGCAGTGGCACCTCCCTGTCCCCCATCTCCCACCCCTGCGGCCCCTGTCTCTGTGCAATCTGCTGCAACACAGACAGTCACAGCGGTCCACCCTGGGGACATGGCCTCTGCACCTGCCTGGCCTCCAGGCAGCTGGTCAGGGCAGGCAGCTTCCCACCCCATGTCCTTTAACTGTGTCCCCTACTGGTGAACACCTTCACATACCCTAACACGAGTACACTCAGTATGCCTGTCCTTCACATCTGGCCCTGGTGCTAGTGTTGTCTCAGGTATTGGGGACACTGCACACAAAACCATGTCACCTTCTCAGGCAATATGTGAGGGTGGCAGCAGGTGCTGAAGGCCTAGATGGTGGGCTGTCTTTGCTTCCAAATGGGGGGCATTTGGTCACAGGGGTCAGTAGGAGGCTGTAGTCTAGGTTGTGCCCTCAGCGTGGCCAGGGAATGGCTGGCAGGGCAGCAGGAGCCCTGTCCTGTGAGTGGGCAGAGTAATTTGTCACACTCAGGGTCCTGCACCTGCCAAATGGAAAAGGCACGGGGCGCGGGGGCATTAGAAGGTTGCAGTGATAATCCCAAGGGAGGAGCTGAGGCTGATGCATTGATGTGGATGAAGACAGGGAGAAGGGAGGGACTCACAGACGCCCCAGCCCATGGCACGACACCCCTCCTAAGGCACAGGTGGCATCAGAGAAGGCGTGTCACATGGGGCTGATAGGCCAGCACTCATGTCCATCCAGAGTTTCAGGATATACCTTGGTCAGAAAGAGAAGCTCTGTCAAAGTAGTCAGAGGAGGGCATCCTGAATTTAGAGAGCACCTTATGTCCAATAATGGGTTCCTAAGAAGAGGACAAAGGAATACAGGGAGATGCCACATGAAGATGGCAGCAGAGGTCTGAGGATAGCAGGAGCCACTGGGAGCTGAAAGAGGACACAAGGACGCTCCCTAGGGATTCTAACACTTGGATCCTAGGCTTCTGGTCTCCAGAACTGGGAGGGAATGCCTCTGTTGTCCCACATCTGGACTTGTCCTGGCTCCCTGGGGAGTATCAGGTAGCTCTGCCTCAGCTGGGCCTCAGGTTGCCAGGCTAGCCAGGCGGGACCACACTATGGACCCAGGGCAGAGTAGGAGTGGCAGGGCCCTTGGAGTTCTGGCTGGGGCTGTCCCATTGGTCAGGGAAGGTTGGGACACCTAGGCGGAAGCTGTGAGGTGGGCTCCACTTGCACTCTCTCTGCCACTAAAGCTGCCTATGGCTTCCATCTTCTGGGGCCAAGGGAAACCTGCCCTGCTGGAAAGCAGGCCAGCCCCCTTGGCCTTCCCTGGAAACATCGTGCCCTGCTGGCTTCTATTTCCCACCATCGATAGAAAGGCAATGTGGCAGGTGGGAACCTCTGTGCACAAAGGAAGTGTGGGCCAGACACATCCACACAAATCTTGAAGCAGACCTGGGGCAGTAGATGGGAGGACAGGCTGAGAGCACACGCCCAAAGCCCTCCTGGAACTGGAGGCTTGGTCTCTGGACCAAGTGGATAGAAGCTCTAGAGCAAAGGTGCCAGGCTAAGGGTGGAGTACAGGGCTCAAAGCTGGGGAATTTAGGGACATTTTGTATCCTGAAGCTTGGGTCCCTATTTTCAGGCCGGCTTCCAGAAAAATCATGGCGTAGCCAGATTGCAGCTCATGGCAGATACTCATGCAGAACCACTGGGGGTGACTATCCACAGGAGGCAGGCTCCCAAGCAAGACAGACTGAGGACTGCCTCAGGGCAGGCCAGACCCATCTTGGAGGGCCTCTGGCCACTGTTTGTAGGTGGCTGACCCACATCCAAGGGAAAACCTCCAGCAACAAAAAGCTGGCTTACTGAAGTGTCTGAGAAATGTCACCAGTCAGTGAGGACAGATAATGGGAGACAGAAAACAACACAGAGCAGATACATACAGCCTGCCCTGGTACAGGGCTCCTTAGGTACAGTAAGCACTGGAGACTGGTATGGTCACTGAATAAGGGAGCTGGGATGGAGTGGGAGGGGGCAAGCAATTGGGATGGCAGGGGAGGGAGTTGTGTGATGGAGGAGGGGGCAGAAAGTTGGGATGAACAATGGGGACAGGGCAAGGCTGCCTGAGTCTTCTAGCACTACCTTCTCGTTTGAATTAAGTAAATGTACCCAGAACTGGTGCCCACTCACTTGCTCATTCCACAGATACTTGCCCACAGCCTTTTTGGGGTCAGCTCCTTTAAGGCTGCTAGGGCAGAATGAGAACCAAAGGCCCTGTGTGGGAGGACTGGTGTTCCCTTCTGCCTTGGAAGGCAGAACCTGCCTCATGACTGGTGCAGGGGAATGCACCTGCCACTAAAGGCTGGGGTAATGGCCACCTGAGGCTGGCCTCCAGCTGCAGGAAGAAAGGAGAAGGCAAGGTCAGAGGTGGGTCGCGGGGACACTTAACTAGTATCTGGAACCAGGGAAAAGGGGTAATGTCTGATAGGGACAGGGTTTCTTTGGGGACTGGAAACCTCTGGATGCAGTGACAGGCACACAACCCTGAGTGTCTACTAACCACCATAAGGCAGGCTTTAAGAGGGTGAGTTGAGGGGCTGAGGCTCAGTGGCACAGTGCTTGCCTAGTATGTGTGAGGCATTGGGTTCCATCCTTAGTACCACAAAAATAAATAATGAAGGTTTAAAAAAAAATTAGGGGCTGGGGTTGTGGCTCAGTGATAGAATGAGGCATGAGACACTGGGTTTGATCCTTAGCACCAAATAAAAATAAAGGTATTGTGTCCACCGAAAACTAAAGAAAAAAAAATTAAAAAACCAGAATGGCAAAAAGAAAACTGTCTGTAAAAGCAAACAGGAACTTGGCAGGTAGACTGAGTCCAACTTTTCCTTCCTAAAGGAGAATAGTGTTAGGAAGCCACAGGGCTTTCTGTTGTCAGGAAAGCTCAGGCAACACCAGCGATGGTGTGGCAATGGTCTCAGCCAAGGACTGATAGTTGTGTCCTCAACTCTTGAGGAGCCAGCCCAGACCAAGGCCTCTGAACCACAGGGAGGCTGGGCGGGGGCTGTGACGGGGTCAGGGAAGGGAGGCCCTGCACAAAGATGAAAGCTATGGATAATTAACGCTCTCAGGCCAGGCTTGACTACAAAATCCTTTGTGGTGGCCTGAAAGAGAAAGCAAACAGATGCAAGACCCATCCCTGGTTTCTAGAGCACGAGGACCTTTGAAATTACAAGACATTAAAATAAAGCTTTGGGTAAAGGACCTCATGTTCTAGTTGCAGATTTGATGTTAGATCAAAACGGAATTGCTCCTGAAAGCCTAGGCACAGGCCTATTATTCAAGGCAGCTCAACCCCAATGCACAGAAAGGACCTCTGCACAGAGCATTCCTGGCTGGCCTAAGATCCTGTGGCAAACTTCACCCTGTGACAGGTATCTCCCCAAATGCTGAGGGCCCCTTCTCTGTCTTCTGTTGTCCCCGCCATTCTGATGGTCATCAGGGACATGTCAGAGAGACACTGGGGTCTTAGGGGCAGCATTCTGAAGGGTAGGCCACCTTCATCCTGCCCCACTTGTACTCAGTGAGGTGCCTGGGGCAAACTTGAGCCCCCCATGGGAAAGAGACTGCTTTCTAGAGCACAGCACCTGGAAGAGAGAGCATAGCTCTTGTTGGCAGTTCAGCCTTAGGAAGAAGGCCAATAATGTCCCTACAGGACCTGCTGAGTCTTGGTGACTGCCTGGCCCAAAGCAAGGGTTCTCTTCAAACCCCAGCAAGCAGAGCACTGCTTTGGCCGCCTGCTGAGAGTGATGCTGGCCATTCAGGCTCCTGTTGCCTGCAGTTAGCAACCCGCTGTGCACACTGAGCAGAGCCAGAGGCAGGGCGTGCCTGTGCCGGATATTGGGTGCACTCAGTCGCGAAGCCAGGTCCGTCTTGGTGTTTGGGAATAGCAGGCAGCACCACTGAGAAGCTGTGCCCAGGCCCTGCTGCACCACAAGGCTGTGGGTCACAGGCAGTAGACACCAAAGGCTGCCTCTGCCACATGTGCTAACATGTGCGAGCCCCAGGCTCTGGCTGCGCTCTTCTGCTGAGCTCCCCTAGCAGCCCGTGCGTGCACAGCAGCAGCAGCAGCAGCGTTTGCTAACATCAGCCAGTGGCATGGTCCTCCTCCTAATTAGGGGTGTTAATTAGCACAAATGAGTCAAGTTAGCAAATTAGTCAGCAAGGCACTTGGGAGCAGGTGGTGTCAGGTGGCAGAGAATGCTCCACCACCTGAGGGAGCACTAGGCCAGAGAGTGGGGGAGCCCTAAGTTGGCAGGGAAAACAGAAGCACCAACACTCTCCAATATTTACAAGCACTTTCTCTTATGTGTTCAAAACCACCCACATTTTATAATCAGGTTTGCTTGTGTGGTGGCCTGGAGGCCCCTGTGTCCACTGCCTGTGCAGTACCCTGTCCTGGAACACAGGTGCCACTGTGCACTGCTACCACCTGAGAGGCTGGCTGCCTCGCTTTAGCTCGGCCTCCACGTAGGCCCTGTGTAGCACCTGCAAGTGCAGCAGCAGCTGTTCCAGGTTCTCCCCAGTCACTGCCGACAGGGCGATGACCTGTCCCAGGTGGTCCTGGAGCTGGGGCAGATGGGCTCTGGCCTGGGGGAGATCAATCTTGTTTGCAACAACCACATGGGGCCTCTCAGACAGGCCTTCTTCGTACTTTTCCAGTTCGTACTTTAAATCCTCCACTTGAGTCCATGGCTCTGGTAGGGAAAGGTCCACTATGAACAAGAGGAAGCGGCAGCGCTCAATGTGCCTGAGGAAGCTGAGTCCCAGACCCTTGTCCTGGTGGGCGCCTCGGATGATGCCCGGGATGTCTGCCACTGTAGGAAACAAGAGCATAGGGTCATGGTGGGCCCCACAGGTTGGACTGACTTTCAACCTCAGGGATGGGAGTGGGGCCTGAAGCCAGGGCTCCTTCAAGGATCCTGGGAGGTGCAGAGTTTTACCCGGTGGCTGGGGGGCCAGGCCCTGGAGTTGACTCAGCCTTCAGATCTGCAGAATGCAAGATGATGCTGATCTGATGAGGAGTGCTTAACTCGTTCCTGTCCTTCCTGGCTTCAAACATGATCCAAAAAGGAAAAATGGCTTCCTGCACTCTATTAATAATTTGATTACTGAGGGAAACCATTATGGAGCACTTTGCAAACATAAAGTGCTATACAAACCACCTTTCCAGCAGGCTATTTTTAATGGGTACATTATCTTCTGGAAAAAGTTTTCTTCTCTCAGAATGGTACAGGGAAAGCTTTTTAAATCACACGTCGTCTACATCAGGGCAGAGTTCACAATGGAAGAATGAAGCCATGGCAGAACTCCTCAGGTTGGAAACTTGTACTCACAGATCTGACCTGAAACTTGGATTCCAGGGAGTGGTGCTGATTTTAGGACAGAACAGACTCACTAAAATTGTTTTATTTAGGAAAAACAGTAAGCCAAGCTTGGGAGTTGGTTATTTTCCTGAATTGCTCAGATCACCTCAACTCCCCTGGGGGCAGATTCTGGATGCTCTACCTGCTACCTGTTGGTGACCTTCATAGTGAACAATCCCCACATGGGGCTTCAAGGTGGTGAATGGGTAGGAAGCCACAGCAGGTTTTGCATTTGAAATGGCCCGGAGGAGCGAGGACTTCCCAGCATTGGGAAAGCCGACCTGGAAGACAGAGAAGATAGCCCGTGACTCTGGGAAGGCCCTTCATGCTGCAGTTGGCAGCTGGCTGAGATGGGACCAATGAGCTGAGAAGCTGTTACTGTCTCCTAAGCCAGTAGCTCGTCTTGCCACCAGGGACCCACCATCCCAGCATGGGCCACCGTCTTGAGCTCCAGGTGGAGAACGCGTTCCTGACCCGGCTCTCCAGGGGTGCAAGTCACAGGGGCTCGGTTGTCATTGGCCAGGAAGAAGCGGTTGCCTTTCCCGCCTGCCCCGCCCAGTGCAGCGATGTACTCCTGGCCCCGCTGGGACAAGTCGGCCACGACCTCACTGCCTTCCTTCACCAAGGTGCCCACGGGAACCTGAAAGCAGCATGGTATTCATGAGTTACAGTGCACAATCGGGGAGGGGGCTGCAAGGTAACCCCTCCTCTCACAGCCACCAAGCATAAGCCTGGCCACCAAGAGTTCCATGGGGCTGTTCACAGTTAATCAGACTGCTCAGTGGCTTTAGCAGTGTTTTTCAGTGTTTCTAAAATGAGAGGACTGCCTTGGCCAGAGACGGGCACAGGTGTGCTCTGTGGGTTGCCCGCTTTGAGGCCTCTTCATCTGCACAGGGCCCACGCTAGTGCCCAAAGACCTGTGCGGCATGTACTCCCCCTGCCTTGTCACCCGTGCCTTGAGCAGTTGATGCCAATGACAGGAGAGGTGGATACAACAGTTGGGCTTACCCGGACGAAGAGCATGGCGCCACTCCGGCCAAAGCAGTTCTTCCTGCCACCATCTTCTCCACTGAAACCCTGATACTGGGATAGGACCGACGACAGCGACTTGACTTGCTGGTCAGCTAGAGGCAGAGCAAGAACAAAGATGTCCCTTTGGTTGAGACAGAACAAGTGCCTGTGGCTAATGTTCTGTCTTGCCCAGGAGGCTTAGGATGCACATGAGATAAGGAATAGAGCTGGGACAGGCATTACTCACAAGCAACACAATTAAAAATCAAGCTCTTACTTTCCTTCAAAGAAACTTCCATTCCTGAAAATTCTGAAGTTACTCATGATGCCATCAATGTAAAAAAAGCTCTGTTTTACTATGCTGTAGATGCTCTGTTCCTAGCTTCTGCAGCACTTGGGCTTATGTGTGCTGACTAAGACTGAGGCTCTGACATCTACTATCATGCTAAGATTCCTAAACACAAACTACGTTTGTGTCCCGGACAAAAAAAGAAAGCACTCGAGGCTGATTTCTTTCTTTAGCGCACTGTTCTTTTGTTTGGCAACATTGGACACTGAGCCCAGGGCTAGGACATGCTAGGCAGCACCCTATCAATAAGTCACACCTTATCTCTCTCTCTTTTTTTTTTTTTTGTGGTGCTGGGAATTGAACCCAGGGCCTTGTGCATGTGAGGCAAGCACTCTACCAACTAAGCCCTGTCCCCAGCCCCCTGCTCTCTTATTTTTGAGACAGCATTTCACTAAGGTGCAGAGCCTGGACTTAAACTTGCAAGTCTCCTGCCTCAGCCTCTCAAGTGGCTGGAATTAGGGGCTGCACTTCCATGCCTGGCTTTCAGTGCACCATTTATGAACATCCACATGCTTTATAAAAAGTTTACATATCAAGTATTTAATGTAAGACACGTCAGGACAAGAAGGTAGATGTGAGGACCCGGCTCTTCCCCAGATACTCCCAGGGCACGTGCCTCTCAGGATGACATGGCCACCGTTGCCACCATCTCCACCATCAGGGCCCCCGAACTCCTTGCGGGGCTCGCTGTGGAAGCAGCTCACGCCAGAGCCTCCATTTCCTCCTCGAACAAGCACTCTCCGATGGTCCACAAAATACCTCTTCTACAGAAAGCACAGACATCTACAGCGTTAGCTACACCCCACAGTCCTTCCAAGAGACCAAGTATCCATGAGAAATATGCCTTTTTATAAAATTAGAAGTTTATGGTGATAGTATTACTAATCTCTCCTAAAATCCAAAGATAAAAATCAGTTTTCACAAGTCATGACAATTTTTTTAGGCTTCAGTTCCTTGAAAAAGGAACTCGGCATTTCCAACCTAAAGAGAACCCAGCTATCTCCAATGGGACACATTACCAACAGTCCGGTCTTCGCTAACATTCTAGTTCTAGTTCTGTAGGCTGCAGCAAGGTTAAGGTGGAGTCTCTCCTGGACTTTCAGCTGTGAAGAGAGGAGACTCTCTGTCCCTAACTGCTAGGGCTTCTCTGTGACATGCAGAGAGGTGGTACACAGAGCCCTTCTTCAGAGCAGCTCTCTCTATAGGTCCTGAAGGCAGGCACAACCAGCTAAAGAAGCAGAACAACTAACTAGTTTAGTTAACACACGTTAGCTCGTCTTACAAGTCCAGCTACCCCAGGCCCCAGGCACAGTGCCCATGCCCAAAATGTATCCATGGGGATGCCTGCTTTCTGCAGGTCTGCAAGGACAGACATACCCTTGGGCCCTGACAGTCCTCTGCCTTCCTCAGGACTCAGGTCATGTGTATTTCCCACCCAGTGGGTTATATAAAGAGTTTATGATTCCCCAGTACCACCACTTGGAACCATGAATTACCATTTCAAAAACTCATTGTGCCATTTTGCTATGTGCCAACAAAATCAGGACCCACCTGATTGGGGAAAAACAGAAGTGGTAAGATGCAGACTTGGGCCTAACCCAGGAAGGGGCATTCCCTCGGCCACCAGATGCCAGATCCTTGATCTGCCTGCTGCCTGCCCAAGTTCCCCACTCTCTTCCCTTCTTTTGTAAACAAGTGGCTAGGCAGGCATTGCTTTGCTCCTGAGCTGACCAGAGTTCTTCCTCTGGAGGCCCTGCTCTTAGAATGCACCTGGAGCACTGCAGGAGACTGAGTGAGATGCAAACATGTATTTTTCTTCTTTTTTTGATACTAGGGAATGAACCCAGGGGCACTTAACCACTGAGCCACATCCCTAGACCTTTTTATACTTTATTTAGAGACAGAGTCTCAATGAGCTGCTCAGGGACTTGCTAAATTGCTGAGGTTGGGATTGAACTCATGATCTTACTGCCTCAGCCTCCCAAGCACTGGGATCATGGGCATGTGCCACCACGCCCAGCTGTATTTTCTTAAATTTAGTTAAAAGACCATTCTTGTTTTAAATAGGTTTTGGTAAACAGAAGAAGAATAATTGTAATACTTAAACTATAAAACCAAAGGGCCACTTCTCCCTGGACATTTTAGGTTAAGATCCCTTCATTCTTACATGCCGGCTATTCAGGCCAGTAACATGAGCAGCCCTGCACTGCCACACCTTCCAAGGTACCCTGGCCCTCCTTGGGCTGCTCTCTGTGACAGCACAGTCCTTGAAGAGCTACATTCAAGAGGCTCTTCAGTCCCTTCAGTAACAAAATCAGCATATATGACACCCTGCTACCTTCCAAAGGGGAGCCCATGGCAGGGTGCTCCCAGCTGAGAAATCTCACCAGTTTTTTCTCAGAGAGTGGCTTCTTTCCAGGGGTCTCCTGATGCTTGGTGTGGTCCACGCAGCCCACTGACAGCATCCTGGGTGAAGCCTGCTGTGGAAGGAGCCGGCAGGACCTGAGGCTGGCCTGTGCAGACAGGGTCCACTGTGCCAGGCCCTCCAACAGGGTCTGAGCACTTGCTGAGAACAGCCTCACAGGGATCATGGCCCCTAAAATGAGCCAAATGGGCAAAATAAGATGTTTGGTTGAACCCTGAATGTCAAGCTGAAGCTAAAGCAAAGTGCCTGGTGCATGGGAGAAAGAACCTGGGTGCCTGAGAGAGACCGGACTAACCAATAATCCATGTTTCAATGCTAAGCACCTGGCATCCTGTGGTGCCCACCAGCCCATTTGTGATGTAAGCAGAATATGCACACAAAGATCAAAATCGTCAGGTCTGCCACAGGACTGGGAATACTTCCCTGGGGAATATGGAGTATCTGCTTAATGCAAATGTTAAAAGGCAAGCAAAACCTGAAGTCAAAATTGTTTCAAAATAAAAATATCCATTTGTCCAAGTGTAACTGAGTGTGTTAATCTCCTGCAGCTTCAAATAATTAAATTGGAATGTGAGAACACTGGACATTTTAGGTTGAGATCCCTTCATTCTTTTTTTATATATATATAAGAGTTGGGCACAATACCTTTATTTATTTTTACGTGGTGCTGAGGATTGAACCCAGGGTCTCACAGGTGAGAGGCGAGCGCTCTACCACTGATCCCCAGCTCGGGATCCCTTCATTCTTACATTTTGGCTATTCAGGCCAGTAACATGAGCAGCCCTGCACTGCCACACCTTCCAAGGTACCCTGGCCCTCCTTGGGCTGCTCTCTGTGACAGCATAGACCTTGGCACAAGGCCCCATTCAAGAGGCTCTACAGTCCCTTCAGTAACAAAATTAGCATATATGACACCCTGATGCCTTCTGAACAAACTCCCAGCCTTGCCACTCTCCTTGGCATGACCCAGGGAAGGTTACACACCTGCTGCCTCAGTCTCCTCACCTGAAAATGGACAGGGATGGTGAGGACAGGCTGGTCTGACCCACCAGGACAGAGCAGCACTGGCTGTCCCGCTGTGATGTGATGAGCAACAGCTACTTGGTCTCTGCCCTGGGCCTGACCCCACATTCCAGACCCTAGCGATTCTCTCCCTGAGTGATGGGAAAAACAGGAGTAAAGAGTGGCATCTGACCAGAGCACCGCACCCCTCGGGACTTGTGGAGTGCAGGGGGGGATGCTTGCTTTATAAGGTGTTCTCAGTGACCCCTGGATAGTTTCAGGACAAGAGCTGGTCACCAGAAAGAGCAGGCCTGGTGCAAACCTTGAGACTTTCACCTCACCCTGTCCTCCAGCAAAGAGAAGGGCTGGGACTGAGCCAACAAGTGATCACACCTCATGAGGAACCTCCACCAACACCCCAAGCCATGGGGTCTGGAGAGTTTTCGGGCCAAACTCTTCATATGCTGGAGGGTCCCACACCCAATTCCACAGGAGCAGAAACTCCCATACTGGGGGCCTTTCTGTGGCTGTTCACTGCATCCTCTGTGGTCTCCTTACAAATAATGGATACTTTACAACAAACAAGTAAATGCTACAAGTTTTCCCGAGTCCTGTGAACCTGCGGAGAGGCTGGAGGGACCCTCCTTGTTGTAGAAAAGTCCAACAGAAGTGTGGGTACCTGGAGACCCATTACTTGCAACTGGTATCAAGACGGGGGTGGTTCTATGTAACTGAGTATATGGCCTATGAGGTCCCCTTTCCCTGGCATAGTGTCAGAATAGACTTGAATCGTGGGGCACATAGCTGGCATTCCAAAGAGCTAGAGAAGAGCTTGGTACGAAGATCTACACACGGGGTGAGTGTTCTGGGGTGGTGTGGACAGCAGCAGCAGCACTGGTCCAGGGCACGCTCTTCGTGAGCTATTTCCCAGTGCTGCCAGTGCACTGCATCCAGCTTCCCTGCCATCCACCACTCCCAGGCAGTCTGAGGTTACTCAAGAAGTTGAACTGGTTAGAAAAAAAAAAAAAAAAATTCCCCAAACAAAATCCCAGATTCAGGCTGTTTTCTGATAAATTCCATCAAACATTCAAAGAATAACCAGTCTTAAACACACCTTTTCAGAAAGGAGAGGAGCTAATGGTGACTATATAACTAATTTTATAGGCCAGTAAAGCTCCAGTATCAAACCTGACTTTACAAAAAGAAGAGAGTAATACTGCTTGTGCATAGGCACGAAGGACCCATGGCAAAACAGTGCTTGTCCCTTTCCATCCTGGCAGCATGGAAAGGGACAAGCACCAAGACTCAGGAGGAGCTGCCCCAGAACACACAGGCAGAACCCACGGGGCACCTCACCATGGCGGCAGACCCTACAACCACTGCAACAGCAAACCAGGAGAAGGGTGCACTGCCCCACTGACAGAAGGTCTCCCAGGGCTTCCAGCTACATTCAGTCATGGTGGAGAAAAAGGCAAGACAGCCATGCTGAGCACCTCTATGCCACACAGTCCTTGCAGACATTGCAGTAAAAGAACTCCCTGTTTACAGAAGAGACGAGGGATTCCACAGAAGGCCCCAAGAAATCTACAAATCAACAATCAGAATCAAGAAATGAGGCCGAAAGCAGGAGGATCAAGAGCTCAAAGCCAGAGTTAGCAGCAGCAAGGTGCTCAGCATCTTAATGAAACCGTCTCTAAATAAATAGGGCTGGGTTGAGTGCCCCTGAGTTGAATCCCCAGTTACTCTCCCCCTGTCCCCGCCCCCCCCAAAAAAGGAGCTGGACAAGGTTGCAGGGTACAAGGTTACACTTAGAAATCAACTGTGTTCTTATACATTAGTAGCAAAATAACTGGGAGGGCTGGGATTGTAGCTCAATGGTATAAACCTTGCTTAGCATGTGTGAGGCCCTTGGTTTGATCCTTAGTACCACATAAAAATAAATACATTGGAGGCAGAGAGGTGACTTAAAAGAGGGGACCAGGAAGGAGTGTAAAAACTGGTGGTTGGGAGAGAAACTTGCAGCTTACCCACACAAGTGCGCCTGCAGCAACTTGGCCAGAAACTCATGCTATCTGTCTTGGAGCCTGAGCCCTGAAGATCAGTGATAAAGAAGCAGGTTGACTGCAAAGCCCCCTGAGATCTGAGCTCCAAATCTTGCTTGATTTGGCGTACCTCCTTTCTGACCTTTTGACTAGAGTTGAGGGAACCCACTGATGATGCAGGCCTCATTTGCCAGGGGAACAGATTCTACACTCTGCAGTGCTGACTGGTGGTCCTGATTTCCTTTCTAATGAGGCTATTCTTATACTATCCATTATCGTAACCCCTATTAAGTTTGGATCTATTAAGTTTCAATTAATTAAAATTGAATGAAATGTGAACTTGGTTCCTCAGGCACTCAGCCACACGTGGCCAGGGCAGCACACTGGGCAGCAAGTGTGGCGAGCTGTGATCATCACAACTCTCCTCAGGCTCCGTGAAACAGTACCCCTGTGCTGGGCCCAGCTGAGCACACAACAATAAAGACGACCCAGGATCGGGTCTGACAGAGACAAGCCTGGCAGCCTCAGGACAGGGCTTTTACAGACTTAGGTGGACATTGTCGCTGTGGTTCTAGGGTCAAGCTCGGCTTGTACTGGTCCACAGGTTACTGCCAAAACCTCCCAGAGAGGCTGAGGCTCAGCTCTTACAAGGCTGCCGTGTCAGGAGCCTCACCAGGACCCACCGCCTGGAAGGAAAGCGGGAGGGCTTCCCGCCAGTCCGGTCCGGCCTGAAGGTCAGGGCGGCACTCACGGAGTCACCTCGGGCCTCTGCTGGTCCTGCCCCCTGCTTCCCCGCTTCGGAGTCCAGGGCAGGGGCGGGGGCACTGCCACTCTCCGGCTCCCCGGGTGTGGCGCCTGCCTCCTGAGGCCCTGCAGGGCGGTCAGGGCGGAGACTCCGGGCGGCCACTCGCCGAGGCACCGCTAGCTCTCCGGGGCCCAGCTGGAGCGGGGGCGCTCAGAGCG